ATAATAACAAAAAGAATATTTCAAATGTGAAGTCTGCCAATCCGCAGTGGGGTCGCGTGGTGGACTATGCCCTGATACCCTCTGTACAGAGGAGGCCTTTGCCCAGCAGAGTGACAAATAGGCTGCTACTTTACCTTACTTTTCATGATGGACTCCGAACAAACCGACGGGATGTAGAAGTGAATATGCGGTATGCCTTTACGTTCCGTTGCCGGTCCCCACGATCTTTAAGGTCCCAGAGGCGCTTGAGACGGCCATGGTTCGTTGTAATCGCTAACCAAATTTCAAAGTTTTTTATAGTGCTAATCTCTGCACTTAAGATTGAACATTAAAACATGTAGAAAAAGTACGAAAAGATTGCCGCCGCTGTGGGAATCGAACCCACGTCTTCGGCATTGCCGCCTACTGTAGTAAGCGCTTAATTACCATTCATCTCTACTGTGGTAGGTCCACGCAACACTCTTTTCTGTTGCACAAAATCTGTCCGGGTACGTACCACGACCTCACGGATGACCGGCGTGAAGTATAAAGGCCCATTTACACGATGCCATTTTCTTGTACATACAAGAGTAAGAATAATTGAATGCAATAAATTGCGGGCAAATAATTGACCATCAAGAATTGTAAGCAACAGTTTACACGCAGATATAGTAAAAAAATTTGAATGCGATTATTGTATGCAAGTCTTGACAAGAAATAATTGCAAATGTCTTTTGTTTACACCAATGCAACTATGTTTAGGCGATTATTGCTTTCAAGTTTTACCTTGTCTAAACACATGCTTGTATGTGCGGGTACAATTTATTGGCGTGTTGCTTCAAGTATTGCACGTATTTGCGTTGACAAATATTTCATTCAAGTGTTGAGCGTTTTGAAAAGGGCTGTTTATTTAAAAAAAAAATGGGTCAATAATAAGTGTTCAAGTTAGATTATGCCGATTTAATATATTTCATTGAGATTTATTTATTATTATCCATATATTATTATTCATTTTTTTGTCCAACTTTTTTTACGACATTTTCTCAATATTTCTTGCCTCAAAAGAACAGCAACGATAAAACACCCTCACTCATCGCACTCATGTTTGCAAAGGAAGAGAGAATGCAATTGAATACAAGAATTGCTTAAGAAATTATTGTGTGTGCTGTTTACACCAAGGAAAGTTTTGAAACAAAACTTGAAGCAAGTCTTGTTCAACAGTCAAGAATGTTATGTGTTGTTTAGACCGTGCAACTCATTTATTGCTTCAATTTAACTGTATACAACAGGCAAGAAACTGGCACCATGTAAATGGGCCTTAAGTGTTATACTTCCGCGTTTCGTCTGGTGTGTGAGGTAGCCGGGGCCCACTCTATTAGAAGGTGGCAACGCATCTGCAACCTACGGCTGTTGCAAATGTCTATGGGCGGCGTTTATTACTTAACACCAGGTGAGGCGTATGGTCGTTTCTCACATAAAAAAAAATCTAATATTTCCATTCGAAGGGCACACAAACGCATTCTAAGACCGCGGTGCCTTTTCTCGTACGAAATTTCAATCTCCTCATTATTATTTCAGCCGAGCCCACGCTGCGCACATTCCCTCCGCCGCACGCAACCTTCGATGCATAATTGAATCGCCACTCACCTGCCTCTTCTCGAATCCTCTCTATAAATAATCGGAAGCCGCTCCTAGGAGAAAATGCGAACGGATAGCATTAGTTGTTCGCGTTCGTAGAAAAACGGCTCGCGGCCGTCAGCAGCAATGGCTTCGAGCGGATCGTGAGGTCGTTTCTCGCTCGGAACGTTTGTGCTGCCGTCAGTTAAGGCCCATTTACACGATACCATTTTCTTGTACATACAAGAGCAATAATTGAATGCAATAAATTGCGCGCAATAATTGACCATCAAGAATTGTAAGCAACAGTTTACACGCAGATATAGTAAAAAAATTAAATGCGATTATTGTATGCAAGTCTTGACAAGAAATAATTGCAAATGTCTTTTGTTTACACCAATGCAATTATGTTTAGGCGATTATTGCTTTCAAGTTTTGACTTGTCTAAACACATGCTTGTATGTGCGTGTACAATTTATTGGCGTGTTGCTTCAAGTATTGCACGTATTTGCGTTGACAAATATTTCATTCAAGTGTTGAGCGTTCTGAAAAGGGCTGTTTATTTTTTTAAAAAATGGGTCAATAATAAGTGTTCAAGTTAGATTATGCCGATTTAATATATTTCATTGAGATTTATTTATTATTATCCATATATTCTTATTCATTTTCTCGTCCAACTTTTTTTGCGACCTTTTCTCAATATTTCTATCCTCAAAAGAACAGCAACGATTAAATATGCGATGAGATCTTCTGGAAAATATTTATTTTATATGTTTCGTTTATTTAAAAATTCTATATGTTATTTTCGTAAAAGAATAATAAGCAACAAAGAAAACGCAACGAAAGTAAGCGTAAGAATACATACTTTGTAATGTTGCATTTACTTTGTAAGTCAAATTGCTTAACTTTTAGCATTTGCGATTGGTTTAATTCTTTGAAGGCATCAAAAACTTTCAATAAACTGTAAATATAATATCTAAGAAATTATTTGTTGTTGTTACCTGCTTATTTCATAGGTAAGGACAGACACTGCCATCTACAGCTTATGTTTGAAACGTTCGTATCTTTTAATAGCGCCATCTATCAGAAAATATGTACACCTTTGGGTTATTATTAATTGCATATGGTTACAGCGCCATCTACCTGTCATAAAAGACGGTTAAAAGTTACCATATTTAAATATAGAGTGCTCTCTGTCTCTTGTTCTTAATTTTCATTATTTCTTTATTTAACCATAATAAATGTAATTCATTTCATGAATAAATTCATACGTATTTATTTCTCATTGATTTCTATCTTAAACCTTTAAATTCTTATCAAAACAAATAATTCCATTGAGATGTCAAATAGATTTAAATAAATATTCTTTTGACATTTAAAAACATAAATAATCATGAAACTTTGTTTTAAAATAAAATAAAAACTGAAAAAAATATATACAAATTTGTAATTCCACAAAAAATGACTCCGCCGTGTCAGTGTATTTTCACTGCCGTGACCAGGATTCGAACCTGGGTTACTACGGCCACAACGTAGGGTCCTAACCACTAGACGATCACGGCTATCGGAGCGCTGTACAATGGGTTGAAAATTTGTATCGTATTATAAATTGTAATATATAATAAATTATAATAGATTACAACTCGAAGATGGTGTATAATCTAATTAAATATACGGTAAACTGCAAGCTAGTACTATGCAGGAAATTGTATTATGGCGTGTATCGACATAAACAAAGTCTTTGCTTAGTTTTGATGACATAACGAGCAACTTTAGAAGCTTACTGGACTAGATTTGTTATGAGTTTTTCTATTGATTAATGCGACTTTAATTTTATTTAAGAAGTGAATATAGGATTCACTTCTTTCATTTACTTGTTGTGTGGCGTCTTGAAAAAATGTTGGTCTGGTGAGTGAGGTAGCCGGGGCCCACTTTATTTAAAGGTGGCAACGCATTTGGAACCCTACGGGTGTTGGAAATGTCAATGGGCGGCGGTTATCACTTAACATCAGGTGAACCGCCATCTCGTTTGCCACTTTCTCACATTAAAAAAACCTATATTCACTTCTTTGATTTACTTGTCACGTGTAATCTTGAAAAAATTGAGTGAAATTCGTTAATTTCCCAAGATCATTTCTAGTTGAGAACTAATCGTGGTTCCTGAGAGCGGATATAAATCGATCTGATACGATGTAGGAGGCAAACAGGTAATGCAACAATAATCACGTAGGGAACTGACTCCTGAACACCAAACACGTGTTCAGAATTCTTATAACATTTTTTGTAGCAGAAAATAATATCTGCCTTCCGACATCTCTAGTATTTAAAAGTATTGTTCGCTTATTGTAGGATAACATAATCCTGCGTTGGAAGCGCGTTTCACAAACATACATTTCACGTGGACAAACATAGTTGTCCCGTGTGAGAATCGAATCCACGATCCCTGGTACCGAAGCCAGTGCCTTGGCAACTGCGCAACTGCAAAATATTTCTAAAATATGTGAATTCCGCTAATCCGCAGTGGGCCGCGTGGTGGACTACGCCCTGATACTCTCTGTACAGAGGAGGCCTTAGCCCAGCTGTGGGAGATGTATAGGCTGATACTTTATTATTAACGCTGTAAGGCGACTGCACGGTGGACATTGACCCAACGCGTAATATTACTTGTGATTCACAAGTCCATAAATCTCGGGGAGGACTCGAGAAACTGGAACGGAGACATGAGTAGGCCCGGGCTCCTTTGTAAAAGTCGGGGTGACCATTTTGTTACGGTAATTTGGGATATTAACGTGTAATGATTACTCTCGTTATTGAATGACGTGCCCGCGAAATGAATCAGCATTTTCATGGGTCTTGTCTCCGATAGTTTTATAAAGTAATCAAAGATTGTTATGCAGTTTACTAAATACATTTCTACTCGTAATTGTTTTCATTTATTTATACCGTACAGTGTATAATGATGCTAATTATGATTTTAAATGCAGATATATGTATACATATATGTACAGAAATTTACCGTTTTAAAAAAAACATATTAGATTTCGTGGAGGATCATCGGATAAAGCTCGCTGTGTGCATAGCTTTTATTCAACATTGATTTTTTTAAAAACATTGCACTTACTTAACATTACCTTGTGTTGCAAGGTCGTTTTACAACCACAAATGTCACGCGGACCAACACCCAGATGGGAAACAACTATCTGTGGGTCACACAAACAGTTGTCCCGTGTGGGAATCGAACCCACGACCTTGGCGACTCCGTGGCGCAGTTGCCAAGATATTGAGTCATCAAAAGCATAATGATTTAGCAGTGGTGTGTACTTTTCAGTGCTCAGTTTATGTCTGTCTATGTCCAGTTTTTCGACAGCGTGGTCGCATTAGCGGGCAATGAATAACTTTCGCGTATGCGGTACGCGTACTCGCACGCTTTTATAATGGCGGACGCCCCTTGGCGACGCGCGGACACTCTGTCGCGAACTTACCGCCTTGTTTGCCGCGCTGCGTTCGCCCAGAACCCGGTAGCTGGACGACTCTTCGTCTTTCATCCAGATGATGGGAGGCGACAAAACGGTGATGTTACCGCATCGCTCGAAACACAGAGATGATTGTTTGTTTCCTTCGTATACGCAGGCGCGCATATTATTATGTACATCGTTTATCCAGTTGCTGTGAAACTTTTGTACGCTATTTGCACGTCCGTATTTTTTTTTTTTCAATAAAACTATTTCCAAAAGGAGTTAATGGGCATGATATTTTAGTAAGAAATTAAAACGTTAAAAAATTAACTCCGTTATTTTAAAAATCTTTGGTAAATCGTTTTATTTTGTTTAATAATATGTTGCAATAACTTAAGCTAACTTGAACCTGCTAGGCGAACATCTAGGCGATTGCCTCAATGTGTATTCGTTACAAAATCTTTTTACTCAATGAACTTTCAAATCCATTTACAAATAATACGAAGCATTGCTCAAATCAAAATATTTTAGAAAGTTGCAGAACTTGCACATATTAAGTATATCTATGAATTCTTAGTTCTGCATATCGTTAATTATTATTTAAGTAACAGAAACAAATGCAGAACCTGAAACACACCTACAGGCAGACGTCGAAAGCGAGTAGTACCTCACCGTTCCCATCGCGAACGCGACGCGCCACTTACCGCGTTCTACTTTACGGCAGTCGGATCAAACGCATCTCGGGGCCGCATTCGAAGCATTTCAAAGCGGCGTGTTTGTGTCACGCTCCGATCCAATTTGCGTTCCGAAAACGGGATCATTACGGAGCGGGGCCACTCGACGATGAACACTGCACGTCGAGTTTTGGAAAGAGACGATCGACTTATTTCGCCTTCGTAGAGCGCTATCTCCGTCACGCACTGTCTGTGACGTTCGTCAGCGTGCGAGCACAAGTGTGCGACAGGGATAGCGCTCTAGGAATCCGATATAAGGCAATCGTCTCTTTCCAAAGGTCGACGTGCAATGTTTGTCGCGGAGTATTTTAGATATGTAATATGCAAGTATGTCGCGCTGTACGCAACCAGTGTTTTGAATCAGTTTTTCTTACATTCGCATTCATATCTTCTCCCGTCTTGAATGTAACGAACGTTATTCGACATTATATACTTAACATGCGCTAGTTCCTGTAAGATTTGTCAGTGTCTTCGTGTCAGGTACTTCGGAATAAAGAGTATATAAAACACAATCCTCTACAATAACAATGTTTTGATGAAATGTAAGTCAATCCGTGGTCTGGTTTTTGAGTTTTGTGCACACAAACATACGGTAGTAAAGTTATATCTATGAAGATGTGTGTTCTCGGTCTTTTCATCCTGTTAGTCCTTCCCGCGTTACTGAGGATCGTGACTCCTTCTAAGCGTCTGATCAGAGAGCTACCTCCACGCTTGCTTGTGTCTATTAAACTATCAAACTTGATATTTGTACAACAAAGCTTTGGAATTCATATACTTCTCGCCTGGTAACAAGGATAATCCGAAGGTCCAACAACAAAAGAGGGTTTCTTTCATGAGTTATAATCTATGGATTACTTTATACGTCAATCAATCGATGAATGAGTAGAGGCGAAGACGAAAGAGGATTTACTGTGCTGCAGTAAACGAGGGTAACGTTGCACAATGTTCAACTTCAGCCCGTTTTAGTCCACTGCTGGACAATGGCCTCCCCCACAGACTGCAACGGAGCACGATCCTGGGCTTTGACTAAGCTATACGGAAATTCGAAAAGTTAAACGCAACGAAGTAGATAGAGATTCCATCGTCGTGAGTTATTCTTGCCTCTGATTCTCTGATTCGAGGTAAAATTGTAGGTACATGTGTGATATGGCAAGCGTTTACCTAAATTGTGGAAAAGTAAGATCTACGACATTAACTGATTTCTTCATATTGTGATCTTCAAAATGTACATATGTTTTATGATTTAGACTTTCTCTGTATTGCGATGTTTTTGTTTTGTAATTAACTTAAACATGGATATATGTTTTATGACGCCCTTTTTAATGTTTTAGCAGTAGATTAATTATTATCTACAAACAATCTATGTTTTTCATTTTATATAAATCTATAACGTTTTCGTACCGTCCATCAAGTTTCATGTTGAAGATTAAAAGTTTTTTTGAAGACTAAGAACTTTTGTGGTGGAGCAACTCAATTTACTTACAAACAGAAAACTCAACTGCATCACAATTATTCAAATCCCGATAACAACAAACTTTAACAACTATACCACGCAAACAAGACGAAATGCTAACGTCAATTAATAAGCCATGCATTACACACGGATGGAACGTTATCGTCTGTGCAGTAAGTTAACAACTACATTTTTCCTAACAAAAAACAAAACAGACTTCAAATATTGTACTCACTGCACATTTTCTATTTCATTTTGAGAAGTTACCTCGTATAACCCCAGAGCCCAAGGTAAAACACCAATGAAGTCAATATGAGAACACACGGGAGCTAAACCGAACCAAATGCAAAAATAATTTTCAAAATCTCTTCATGAATGACGGAGTTCTGACGTAACAAACATAAAAGGTCGTACGACTGAATTGATAACCTCCTTCTTTGCAGTCGGTTGAAACGTGCTCTTTTAACGGGGCGTCGTTAAAAAAGAAGACACGCCGCTAAAGCAGTAAAGTGGTCTCGTGACTTGACAAATTAATCGTCGAACCAAAGTTACGAGTCACACTTGGCATGTTACATAACGTCGAACAGGTTATAAATTGTTTGGTGCTTCGGAGTTGGCTTGTTGTCATCCTACGCTTTCCACTATTAATTCTAACTTTGTTTACGTTTCGGATAGTTCAACGTGTTACTTTAAAGCCGGAAGGGTTTTGGCGCTGTCATCCGGTAAGGTGTACTATTAAAATAATCGATGTTGATTTATTACGAACTAATTGCTTCACTATTGGTTTCGGCGACGCAGGTCTGAATCAAATTTCAAAATATTTCATAATATTTATATACGCATAGAACGCGCGTTCTTATGGAACGTAGAAATATTTACATAGAAATTAATAGGTTCGTAACTTACCACCGCGATGTTATGGATTGCTCGGACAGCTCTTTTTTGAAAAATAAATATAGATTTTATATCAGATGCACTAACTACCCCACAATAAAATGCCGTACGACAAGATGCTGTGAAAATAACTGAAGTAAACAAGTCACAAGTAGTGGCAGTGCCGATGTCTGATACCCGTCTAACCCTCCTAATTCCAAAAACAGCGGAGCTTAACCTATTCGCAAGAGATGATAGATGGGCACTCTGTTGGAGCTTTGAATCTACTGTAATTCCCAAAAATGTTCTCTCACGGATTTCCACACGGGACAATTATTCGTGTGACCCGCAGATAATTGTTCCCGATCTGGGTGTTCGTTCTCCAAGGAGGGTTGACGTCAGGCAGGCGGGCGGTGGTAAAAAACGTAGCCAAAACCGCTTACAACATGATTCACATGCTGTGCCGACCCCACCTAGGTGGGTCAAGGGCAGGGGGGTGATGATGATTACATTTTTAACTCAAAAACTGTATTTGCAACCACTCCCCAGATAAGTAGTGATAAGTTTTTATTTTTTTAAAGTTGCCCTTACTTTAGGATAATATTATCCTGTGTTGTAATGACGTTTTACTAACATAAATTTCACGCAGACAAACACCCAGATACGAAACAACTATCTGTGGGCCACACAAATGGTTGTCCCGTGTGGGAATCGAACCCACGACCCCGACGCCGAAGCCAATACCTTGGCAACTGCGCCACGGAGTCATCGATAGGATATAATCCGTAGGAATAATTTTAGTTAAATATCTAACTTAAACAATTATCTTAACATTCTCTGAAAACGCACAAGTTCACATTTAACTTTTCAGTTATTCCCGCCTTGCATTATTGTTTCACATCGCGGTAGCACCCATCTGAAAGAGAAAACTTTTTTAACGCAGTTTCGTCTCGATATTGTGAAAAATAGATAAGACAATTAGCCGATTAGACAATTAGCTTCTATCCGAGCGGAGAGGTGGTCAGTTTTTTATCTCACACTAACATTAAATTGGTTTTATGTCAAGAAAGTCTTTGAGTGTTATAGACAAGTCTTTTGGACATTAATAAACGCAGCTACGTCATAATTGACGTCTCTGTGTTGGACCGTAATCGCTGCGGGTAATCTTAATCGAATCTTCGACAGCGTATCGCAATTGACGATGGATCGGTCACCACCTAGGCCCTAGGGTCTTCATAACACGAAGTTTATTCACGAAGACATATGCTTATTAAACATTTTAATGCAAACAATTAGCAGATGTGTGCACTGAGATTACGGAATTCCGCTCTCCGCTACCCTAAGGGATACTTTTTCGCCTGCTTCCCTAAAACCAAAAGTCGTTATTAGTTGGTCAACTTTCATAACAAAAGGGAACTCTATCCGAATTAAAGAGTTCAAAATGATCACAGGGGAAATCTACGTTAGACATTGACGCGTCGAACTCGATATACTTATTATTTCCTTTCACGTTTTTTAGGGTACCGCACCCAAAGGGTAAAACGGGTACCTATTACTAAGACTCCGCTGTCTGTATGTCCGTCCCTCTGTCACCAGGCTGTACAGTTGATATTTTCACAGATGATGTATTTCTGTTGCCGCTATAACAACAATTCATAATAAAAACAGAGTAAAAAATATTTAAGTGGGTCTCCCATACAACAGACATGATTTTTTGCCGTTTTAATAGATAGTGGTACGGAATCCTTCGTGCGCGATTCCGACTCGCACTTGGCTGGTTCATTTAAATCGAAGAAACGTGATATGTCCGTGTGATACGGTTTGCTCGCAATTTACCCGCCATTCACCTTCGACGCGACCGCCGTGCTCAAATTGCGCGGTGACGTCACGTCATGTCATGTCACGTCCCGTCTCGCATTGTCAAAGTTGACACGTCAAGAAAGTCGGTCACGATCAAGGAGGGTGCCGCCCCTAGTTGGTCGAACGTTGCTTGTACCTGTCAAGGACAATAATGTCTAAGCTACAGTAACTCTTAACTATTATCATAATTCGCAAGAAATTATTTGATGAATGTGTTTTTTACTTTCGTTTAATATTAACCGGGCCTGCTTGGCGGCATTGTAGAGGGATTAGATTTTTTTTTGTGATTAAAATATTTTGTTTAGTAATAATGATTTCTTACACTTACAATATTACATTGTGATATATATCGGAATACGAGGTGATAAAATCAGAACATGTTCGTTTAATAAAATATATGGGATTTTAAATTCGAATGTTAATGAAGATTCCCTGATAGCAAAAAGAATCATAAAATTAAATAATCGTAAAACCAAATTTCAACACTATTTAAACACAAATAATGCAAGTTAACTACATGTAAATAAGGATGAAACAAATGTCTGAACATAGTCATGCTAAAAGGCGTCTAATTAATTACAGCTGATATGAATCAGTCAACATAACAGCAAAACCATTAAGACAGACCGTTTTTTACATATTTAGTAAGTATGTTCTGACATTTGTTATTTGTTCACTTTTAAAATCAATAAAGTGTATACACGGATATTTATAAATTATCCAAAAATGTATCTTTCTATTTTACTTGCCATTTGCTAACGACATATGCCGTAAAATATTCTGTCAATAGCTGTCTTGAACATTAATGTAAAAAAATTAAAAAGAAAAAAAAATGTGTTTATAATTTTTTTCCTGATTACCACCGCAACAATACAACCATACAACAAGTAAAGTAATTCACATTATTACTGATTCAACAAGTTATTTTGGAAACATTGCTTGGTAACTGTTATAATTTGCATAGTAGTTCCTATGTTCTCCTAAAAGTACTCGACGATTCTCATTTTTTTTCTACATACGTAAGTAAATATTGCCTTCGAAGAAAATAAAGAACTATTTTTAAATCTTTCATTTCTTTGAAGCAGCATTGATAACGAAGATTCCTTTTCTCCTGATATTTCAA